TGTGTGTGGGAGGGGGAACAGAGTGTGTGTACAGACTATTTAGACTCTCTAGTTTGATTAAATAGATTGTGTTTTAAAAAATTTATCAAATGGAGTTTTGACTTATGATTTCGTAAATCAAATAGTGATAACTAATTAACATAATCATTTATAGCCAAATAGTTATTTAGTTAATACTCGTAAAGGCTTTACTACTTGACAGTTTGGATCTTTGACTTTGAGGATAGGGCTGACTGTGCATGGATACTGTATAGATTTAGGATTTATGGAATATCAGAGGACACGGGTATAGATGCAGGTTCATTTAAACTATATCTAGAAGTTCTGCTACGTCAAACAGATGAGGTTTTGAGATTAGGCAATTTAATAAAAGGCAAGGAGAAGCAAAGAACAAAAGGGATTTAGTTAGGATTGATATTGGAAAAGAACAAAAATGAAATTAAAGGATTCTTATGGGAATATGTGGTCCTCTGAGACGTGTGTGTGTGTGTGTGTGTGTGTGTGTGTGTGTTTAGAGGTGGAAGAATGATATCTTAGACAGTTTGTGCTGCTATAAGAAAATACCAGAGACTGGGTGGCTTATAAACAACAGAAATTTATTTCCTACAGTTCTGGAAGCTGGTAAGTCCAAAATTAAGGTGCTGAAGATTGGGTGTCTGGTGAGAGCCCACTTCCTCATTGACAACCATCTTCTCACTGTAAGGTCACATGGTGGAAGGGGCAAGCCGGCTCTCTGAGCTCTCTTTTATAAGGGTACTAATCCCATTCATGAGGGCTCCACCCTCATGACCTAATCACCTCTCAGAGGGCCCACCTCCTAATACCGTTACATTGGGGGTTAGGATTACAACATATAAATGGGGGGAGGGGGACACACAAACATTCAGCCCATAGCAAGTGATAATGTAGGTGAGGAAAACCAGAGATCCAGAGATCAGAGGCAGCAGGTGCTCTGTAAGACAGACCAGGAAGAGGTGGCATGACAGCCCAGAAGCTACTACAGTAAGCCAGAGAAGCCAGATCACTCTTGAAGCACTGGCTGAGCCTGGCAGCTAAAATGACTGAGAAGCAAGTTGTGCCTTTGAGGTTTAAGAAGGAATGCTAGCTGTTTAACAGAAATGGTCACAGGTCATTTGTCCTTGTGGTGGGTTGTGATTGTGCTGTGACGGTAAAGGTAATTTTACAGATTGACAGAATCTGTAAGACAATATTTACTTTCAGTGATGCTATAAATGCCCTTCCCTTTGATCTGTTTCAATGGCTGAAAATGTTCCTAACATCTGTAGCTGAGATTTCCCAACTTAATTTGGTTCTCATCGGAGGAGATTTCTATCCAAGTCAATTGCAGCATCTGTACCTACAGCTCTGAGAAGGAAAAGCTGTGTTTGATGGTCTCCCCAAGTCAGCAGTATAAACTTGAACTCATTAGAATCACAAGGCAATGAAAGAAAGAAAGAAAGTTAAAACTGGATTTCAAAGGAATCTGAGTTGGGCTGCTGTCAGGGAGGTGATGATGTGCAGATGTGCAAGCCCAGAAGCTGTGCAAGGAACGGAGCTGTGTTTCTGAATAACTCCATGGTTACGGGCTACAAAAATCACGAGGAGAGGAGAGGAAAATAAGAGCGCTGGAGTTTGAACATTTTTTTTTTCTAAGATTGGTTTTTATCTACTTGTCTGATCCTGTGGCTTGCATTATCTTGACTAAATTAAAACCAAAAGTAAATCATAAATTTGTCTTTAAATGCTCCCTGCTGAAATTCAAGAATGTTTATGCTGTGTCTCCCTCCTCTAGATATTATGAATCTTATCTTTAACAAATCATTGTGAAATATCAAGTCATCTTCTTATCTCGCTGCTGATCTACATTCAAAATTCAGTGATAACTTTGTATCTTTCACCCACTACTTCTTAGGCTTATTATCACTGATGCAGTGACATAGTTGCTTGAATTTCAATGCTTCTTGCATCCAGCTGTGGCCACTGATTCACTCATTGAATTTGATGGTGTTAAGCACAATAAGAAAGACGATTTAATGGGTCTTAAATGTTGACTGTTACTGAAACTATTCTGCAATTTTCATTACCAAAAGAAGTCCCTGTTGAAATGTTACTCTTTCTACTTCCCAAATGGTTCTTGTCAGCAAAGATACAAAGAAATGCATCCACACCAGCTGTTTCAGTCCAATTTAGACAGAAATCAAGTGCTCACTTTCAGAACACTCCACTAAAATGCTCTTCTTTTGTTAATGATGAGAGGACAAAAGGGCATTACACTTTCACAATTTAATGTAAGCATGACAGATGACTTTTTTCCAACATTAGCATTCTTATATAATACGAAGACCAGTTCTTTGAGAAGATGATTCCTCAATGTTAGAGTATATATGTATTGAAGGACCTCAGAGTATGCCACCCCGGAATATGCCACTTTGGTATAGGATTGTTTTCAGCTAAAGGCAATTGAGAAACAACAGACACAGAAAAGTTCTCTACCATCCCCCATTTGCCTAAAAGAAGGGCATAAGTTTCCCTTGGTGAAGATGAGCCCAACCCCATTCCCACCCCTCATACCAGGAAGGGTGGAATGATATTAGCCCAGAGACTGCAAGAAGAGGAATCTGCATAATAAACCTTACCAAACAATATCCATCTTCCATTAGTTTCCCTCATTTACCTTCCCACAATTTACTACCCTTAAAAGCCTTAACTTTCTTTCCTTTGTCTGTCTCCACAATTTGTTTTTCTTTGTTAAAATTATATATAAGCCCTTTGAGACTAACTACTTCTTTGGGTCTTCACCTTTTTTCTGTGAAGGCCTCCATATGCGTATGGAATAAACCATTTCTCTCGTTAATCTTTTGTCAGTTTAATTTGCAGGGTCCCTTTCACAGGACATAGGAGGATAGAGGAAAAGTGTTTTCTCTGCTGCAATGTCCATTCCTTTTAGTGAAATGAACTAGGAAATGCCAAAATTTAATATTGATATGCCTTCTGAAGATGCTGAAAATAATTTCTTTGGTTACTTTTGATGTATCTTAAAATTAGAAATTTCAGCAAATACTTAACAATTGACACAGAACACAAGACTGGGGAAAAAACACTTAGGAATTATGAAGTTAAAATATTACATTTTTTTCTTGTAAGTTGCAGGAACTTTGCTGTCAGGAATAGGTTTTACATTTTTTAAATATACTAAATTTTAATGCTCAAATGTAGCAAGCCGTAAAGACTAAATGTTCACACTATTTCAGGGTGACCATTGTTGAGTGGCAAGAGGTAGTGACCTCTGTGTGACTGTTCAGGAGGTCTTATTTTCTGCCTGAGTAGAACTTTCAAGGTGGTCTGAAAACTTAAGATTTTGAAACTCATTTTTAATTGCAGTTGAAAAAAATTCCTAAATTAGAAGAGTATATACTTTAATATTCATTTTTGCCATCTTTAGAATTTGTCTTAAAGAAAAGAATATCTATTTTATACATGTGTTTTGTGTGTATGTAAATATATATGTGCATATATGTATATATATCCATGTGTATGTGTAAATATATATATATGTTTATATTTGCATGTATTTTTATATATATACATGTATGTATAAAAATCTACTCAAAGTCAAATACTTTTTATATTAGCCCAAATCTAAAAAAAGTTTGACCGATAAAGCTGGACACTTTACTGAAAGCAGATATTTTAAATGAAGTTTTCTCTTTCTTTGTTTTCTTGATAATTCCTAACGTCATCAGTTGCCTGCCGTAAACTGAAAGATGCATTTGTTATTTTGGGCAGATTAAGAAACCTGGATTTCTTAATAGTAAAACTATTAGAATTAATAGTGAAACTATTAGAATAGTTAAAACTATTAGATTTCTTAATAGTGAAACTATTCTTACAGAATGGTTTCTTCTGTAAATAGTGTCTTTCATGATAAATTAATAAAAGAATGAGTTTTTATTACAAATGATATTAAAGATTACTCATAAATGTGACTATTATCTTCTCATGAATTTGGTTTTTGAATGTCATTGGAAACATTTAAGATAGTAGCTTCTGCTCTCCAGCTTCTCTATACTCCTTCTTTTTACCCCTTATACACAAAATAGAGTAGAAACATCTTTCTTGCTTTGTTTCATATTGTTTTATTTTGAGAAAAATATTCTCTTCCCTGTATATTTCCACAGAAGAAGAACATTCTCTGATGTAACCATACTGCAGTGATAAAAATCTTGCTATGTGGTATTGATACTATTGATGCAAATAATCCATAATCAATCTATAAATCAAAATTGGGGTGAATTTATTATGAGCCCATTTGAGGACTATAGCCAGGAAGAACTTTTGCACCAAGGAAGGGAGCTCTCCAAAGAAGCGGAGTGTACGGAGTGGTTCTATACCACCTTGGAACAAAAAGCGTACATCACATATGACAGGAATATCTCTTTTAGTACTGTCACGAGTTGCTTAGCCTGCACAGCAGGTCAGTGGGCACAAGGTGAGCACAGCAAGTCGGTGGTCAGCAGGTCAGTGGTCACAAGATGAGTTAAAGCAGGTCGGTAATTAGTCCTTAGTTTCTGGAGAGAAAGGCTTATACTTAAAGAAATGCTGATATAGGGGAGGCAACATTGCTACCTTTAAGAGCATCATTCCTGTTTTTGGGACATTGTAAATGTTTAAAGCAGATGTGCAATGTATGCTCAACAGGCCACGTCAGGCCTTTCTGGAAAAACAAGATCAGATCGAATTAGTTTTAAACCAAATGGCTTCCTCATATACTCCAATATATCTATTGCTCTTCATTTATTCATCGATACTATAGTATCATCTTATCCATAGTCCATATGCACGGTCGGTCAGTTGTCCACATTATGCCCCTTATAGCTATTCCTCTCCCACCCCTCATCCCCCACTGTATTCCTTCTCATGTTTCTCTAGTTTCCTGTAATCTGAAAGTGTTTCTCAGCCTTTTTTTTTTTTAATTTTGAGATTTTTTTGAAAAGTACCAGCCAGTTATTTTATAGAATATCCCTCAATTGGGGTTTGTCTGATGCTTCCTCAAGATTAAATTCAGGCTTTGTGTTTTCAGCAGGAGTCCCACAGAAGCATGTTGTGTTGCTCCCAGAGCATCACGTGAGGAACATGTGAATCTGTTTGGCCTGGAATTGGTGATATTAACTTTGATCACTTGATTAAAGGTTCTCTAGTGTAAAGATATTCTTTTTTCCCTTCCTAATTAATAAATAATTTGTGGGGAGGTACTTTGAGATTATATATAAATTTTCCCCCTCATGAAATTTTTTACCCACTAGCTTTAGCTTCAATTGGTGATTTTCAAACTTCATTATTCCTTCTATATTTATTAGTGTGCACTACACTTTAAGGTAGACTTTTTCTATTTATTAACTTACTCATTGATTATTATGTTATCAATAAGTTCTAATTCATTATTGTAATTATTTATTTTGATGCTCAAATGACTTGGACTTAGCTAGCGAGAGCCTCTTCAGGCTGGCTTCGGGGTCTTCGGGATATGATTTCATCGTCTTTTAAACATGTCTATTACTTTCAATTGCAACACAACATTCCAGCTCATTTTGTATTTTCCTTTCCTCGGCCCCACAATCAATCGTTTCTCTATGAAGCCTTGGTTCCTGTTAGTGGAGATTGATATTCAGAAACAAGATCTGGGTCATAGATGTGCGTATTGTTATTGACGTGTTATTGCTTCTAGGCTCTCTCTATAAATGTGTGCATATTTATATGCATTTATTCGTATATATATTTATCATACATTAGGTGTTACTATTGTAGATCTTCATTTAAATGGAATATCAACTATGTGCTCTTCTGCGTCCAGCTTCTTTCACTCAACTTAATAGTTATGAGGGGCATTCAGGTTGTTCCATGTATCAGCAAATCATTCTTTTTTATTCCAGAGAAGCATTCTTACATGAATATATTTCAAATTTTTTATCCGTTCACCTGTTGACGGACAATGGAGTTGTTTCTAGTTTTGGACTACTATGCACAAAGATGTTATGCACATTTTTGTCTAAGTCTTTTTGTTGCCATTTATTTTTATTTCTATGGGGTAAAAATCCAGCAGTGGAGTTATGGGCTGAAGTATGTTTCATTTTTAAAAAAATTTTTAAGAAAATGCCAAATTTTTTCTAAAACGGTTGTACTATTTTATATTGCCACCAAAAATATATGAGAGTTCTGGTAGTTCCATATCCTAGCTAACGTTTTGTGTTGTCATTCATTTTAATCTTAGCCATTCTAATGGAGATAGTCCTATCTCATATTTTATAGTTTCATTTGCATTTCCCTGATTACTAATGATATTGAGCACTTTTCACCTATTTATTGTCCGTTTGTACATCTATCTTTGTGAAATGTCTCTTTTGCATATTTTCAAAATAAACTGTTTCCTTTATAATATTGAGTTGTTAGAAATATTTTATATAGTCTTGGTGCAAGGTCTTTTGTCCAGCTTTCCAGGACCAGAAGAATACTACAGGAGAAAGCACATAAATACATTATACAGTTCAAGTGGCTTAGTAGCAGCATGAGCTATGGTAGAGAGAGGAAGAAGCAAATAATTCTGCTACGAGTGTTGGAAAACATGTAATATATGAGCATGGCCTGAAGGTGACTAGAGTTTTGCTAAGTCATGAGAATAATAGTGTGTGTAAGGAAGGAAATGTGTGAAAGAGTATAGAAAGTCAGTTCTATAAGTGCAGGGGCTCATCTGTTTATTTATTATTAGATGTTCAGTACCTAGCACAGTATCTGGCAAACTAGTAGGTGTTCCATGGACATATGTTGAAAAATGAATCATTGAATCCTTGTACCCTATAGCTGCATGAATACCGAGAGCAATGTTACAGCAGAGAAATGACATGATCTCATTTATTTATTTTGAAGGTTAACTTTGGTGGCCATTTGTATAATTCATGGCAGAAAGGAGAGAGTGGAAGAAGTAGGTTTTGTGGCATTTAGTCATTCATTCAGCACATATTTACTGAGGGCCATGTGTGCCTCACATACTTGGTGGGTTTCCTAAGGATGAAAAATCCCTTGCTCTCTAGGGGCTTACTGTATGGTTGGGGAGGTAGAAACAGAAACAGACAACTATGTAGTGCAGTAATTATAGTGATGAATGTATTCCCTGGGCATGTGTTTTCAAGTCCATCTTTGGGCATTAGGACCCCCTTGACTTGAGTTGGATCTACCTGGGTATCAACCAGAGGAGGGAAGTTGGGCAGATGTTTCTACAGAGATCCAGCATGAACACAGACACTCCTTGTGACTCAGCATTGGGTGTGTGTTCATGCAGTCAACAGCTAGCAGTTTGGAAATCATACAGATATAAGGTCAAAAACAGAGGTAGAGTTGGTCAGAGCCAGTTGGGTGCCAGGTCTCAGAGAACTTATAGTTACAAATCGAAGAGTTTGGGTTTTATCGAGTCATTAATGAGGAACTACTGAAGTGATATAGGCAGGGGAATGACATGGCCAGATTGATATTTTATATAGCTCACTTTTAAATTTGTCTGACGGATTGAAAGAAGGCAAGATTGATGTGGAGAAACCAGCTGCATCACTTGAAGAGAGAAATTATTAAGGAAGCTAGAGAATTTCCACTCAGAGTGATGGCTTTTATTTGTCAAAATTAACTAACCATATCAAAGTAACTGGTATGATTCTGGTTTAAGATAGTTTTGTTTTGCCTATCTCTGATTATTCACAATTTGAAATTGAAAAGAAATGCTTGAACTGTTTTCCTTGCCGATTTCAGTAAAATATAATAGGCATCACTAATATAGCAAAAAGAAAAGGGGTTCTAATTTAAGTACAGTCATTTTTCAGATTCATTAGCTTGGAGAGAGGATCTAATACTGCTGTTCTGAAATCTAGGCTGATTTTATTCTTTAATCGAAGTAGTTCAGTTGACTCAATTGACAATGCCTTTCTAGATATACTTCAGAGATTTGGGAAGGAATTCTAGCATGGAATGAAATGCAGAGTCCAGTACCACACTTTTCTCTTGGTTACTCAATTGCATGCCTCCCTGGTCTTAAATATCTTATATTTCAAAGAATAGCTCTGTAATATTTTTCCAGTTTAGGAAAGAAGCAAATTCATTAAAGGAATCCAGTTGTAGCTAGAAATTTTGTTCAGTATATGAGTGTAGCTCTGCCCTGTGTTAAACTGGGAATTCCTAGATATGCCAGTTTCTGGACTGTTTGCTCGAAGGTCCAGTCCCCCCTCTCCTATGCTCAGTGTATGAGAGATGCTGACCTCCGTGGGCTTCCCATAGAGTGGTTTTGGTTTTCTGTGTCGGACCCTGACTGACTCACAGGGCAAGTGTGTTCTTTAAGGGCTTGAGTTAAATCATCCTGAATTAAACATTTTCAGTAGCTATAATCATTATCCCTGATACACTGTTCAAATGAAAGATGCCACCCCACAGAAGAGGATTTCTAGGTGATATAAAAACAAACAAAAGAACCAAAAACCTTGTCAAACTTCAACCTCTTTTCATTGACACATACAGAATTTGGCCTTGAATATAACTACTGTGGCAAGTTGCTTTACTGAATATTAGTTTTTTTATTTCTCTTCAAATTCCACTCTGCTCGTCCCCCAGCTCAAGAAGACAGACAGGTCCCTTTGTGATCATCTAACTGGGGGATTTTTTCAAGACAGGAAGCAGAAGTAGAGGGCTCCTGAAGTCAGTGGCATTTGATTCTATTCAACTCTTTAAGTAATATTGTCTGGTGCATGACTGGGGTAGAATGAGGATTGAGTTGGGGTGAGAAGGCTTTTGTGGAGTTGTAGAAAGCCTTCAGGCTCCAAAGGGGGAAGAGATCTCTGGATCTCAGTGGTAGCTGGGACTCATCTCATGCTCCTGGGCACCTCCCAAAGCAGGGTGCAGGATCTCAGAGGATTATTTTCTGGTGCATTTAGGAGGTGTTGAAGAAAAAATAATATTCTGTTAAAGGAAAAAAATTATTCATGACACTTGTTAAAGCACAAGACAGACGCTATTCAAGGTAGGATAACATAATAGGTGTAGGGACCACTGCAATGGGGTCTTACAGTGGGGAAGAGAGATTGAGCTCAACTCTGAATACAGCATAAGCAAGTGGGAATTTATAGCCAGGGAGCAGGATGGGGGCCAGTGGATGGAAAATCACTAAACCTCAGGGGTAAGGGAAGATTCTGAGGAAAGTGACCTAGCAGGATTCTGATGGCAGGCCAGGTGGTCAGGCATCACCTGGGGGTTGGTGGGAGATGAGGAACCCCATCAGATATCTCGGATGGCAAAATTGACTTATCAAGATTCTTGCTAAAATTGAACAATGCAGAGATGAACACAGAAGCCTGAAAGTCAAGCCTAGTTGCAAAAGAGCTCAGAAAAGCCTGAGTAGAATTTGGGTAATGAGAGAGCCTTATCAGCGGCAGAGCCCTAGGTACTTGTGAGTCCAGTGTCTTAAGGCTGCCGCAGAAACTCCAGAGCTTTCTGACCTGAGCAACCACGTGGCTGGGGACACCGAGTGTCATGGTCATTGCCAGAGCAGATGGACGTGGAATCTTGCCATCTGTCTTGGTGCCACAGAGTCCCAGAAAACCCCTGAGCCTTTGTTGTCCTAAAATGCAGAGCTCCCAGAAAAGATGGATGTTGAATTTCCTGCCAGTCTTGTAGGACGGAAGCTAGAAGCCAGAATTAGGTTGATTTTAAGAAAATCAATAACAGTAATACTAAAGGTATATCTAGATCTGCTGACTCAGATTTATACCCATTGCAAAAATAATCATATTTAGATCATGCTTTTTAATTTGCAAAGCTATTGCAAATCATATTTTAACTACCAGATGTTAACACCATATTTGCTTATAAAAGTTAGTGGGAAGGCCACAAATGGAGAGATTCGGGAGCAATAGAAGCCAAAACAGAATAAAATCAAGTGCAAGATAGATTAAAGATTTTGGAGTAACAATTTATGCTAAGGTATGATTATGAATAGTTATTTAAAAAGCTGTCAAAACATGTTTTAATTTCAAGA